TACAATATATATAACACATATATATAGTAATAATATAATACATATATATATATACATATATATATATATATATATATACATATATATATATATATATATAAATGTGCCAGTGATCAGGGTTTTACTATTGCTAATCTTCCTAACATGTATATACACTCGCATAAACAACCACGTTCAGACAGAGATGAAACTGCCCGTACACACTACACGTGTGGAGTAAAGTTTCTCACACACCCAGTATTCTCGACCATACCCTATGGAAGCTGAAGAGAGGCAGAGTCTCGCTTTGCAGCCACTTCTTACTGCTGCTGCCTGTGTCAGGATTAGCAAGCGCCACAATGCGGAATGAAGGGTGGATGACGCGCACGATGTTCTCCAGCTGCGCCAGGCTGGCTTGGTTGCCATGACAACGCTCTTTCAGAGTCCTGTATCGATTCTGGCTGACTAGTCTGACGCCTGTATTGAGTAGGTTGATAGGTGACATGTAAGGTATCATGAGATAAACGAGCGCGAAAGCACCAGTAGCGCGAGCAAAATAATGGTGAAAGAAACCAGATAATGTATCCGATGATTCCAAGGTAAAGGAAATTTTGTGAACAACACTATATTTGTAAGGACATTCGCTCTACTTGGCTAGTTGTAGACCATATGAGGCCTCATGCTTCAGGGCACACATCGTACACGTGTAATCTGCAATACAACATCGATAAAATCGGTTGAGACTTTGACCCGTCATCATGGGGTTGGTGGAAGAAGCATCTTGATAGGTCACCTCTCAGCGGTAGGGCTAATGACTGACTACACACCACGTATAATATCAGCGTGAACAAAACATGTATTTTATACAAGGCAACTCAGCGCAGGAGCACATGACACTCTTGGCCACACTTGCGTACCATCGAAGAGCTGCAGTTCTCGATCGTAGATCAATCGATGCAGCACCACCAAAGTGTCGAACGGCAGGCGGTGCAGCCCATCCAGCACAGCCAACTGGCCACTCAGAGCCGCTCTATGCGAATTGCGGACATCAAAGATTAGTTCGTATGCATGTGTTTGTGAATTGTCAGTTGACTTTTCACTGCTAGTGCGTACATATGTGTTTACTGACGATATGTACAAATCAAGATAGAATACCACAGTATGAACTGACTGGGCACTCAGCGATGCTCTATCAAACGTGTGTGCATCAACAAAAGGTTTTTATGTCTGCGTTGTTATATATATAAATATATATATATATATATGTATAATATATATATATATATATATATATATACAGTTAACATATATATATATACATATAATAATATGATAATAAAACAATATAATAATATATATACATATATATATATATATATATAAATATATATATATATATATAAATATATATACATTTATATATATAATAATGT